CAATAAAACTTGGAAAAATTCCTTCTGAAAAGTAATCAAATTGAACCTTTAAATTAAAATTACAATTTATAATTGACTCAGGCAGTAGATTTAATAACTGATTAAACATAGCTGTAGAAAGAATGACTGGATTATGAGTAAGAGCATGTAATTCAGAATGTAACATGGAAAGACGGAATGTAGAAGAGAGGTTAAAAAATAGAGGACAAGTTGTGAGTCTACTATGTTTAATTTCAATTTTATAAATGGAGAGGAGAAAAAGGACAAAAACAGCAGTTGAAAAAAATAATGCCTGAGAATTTTCCAGAACTGAAGAAAGACAACAATCTACAGATTTAAGAAACCCCATACCCAAGAATCTAACACCTTAACCATTGGAAAAACATGGTATTTCCCTATAGGATCATTTATTCCTTTTTTGCACTTCTCAACTGAAATCTTCCCTTGGATACATCTGATTGGTAAAACCTAGGTCACATGCCCACTCCCAGCTCCAGGTGGGAAAGCAACTTTTCTAGGACCTAATATGTGAATATGTGAAATTACCAAATGTAAGGAAAATGTTTTTAAAAATGTTAATTCAGAATTTTCCTCATCACACCTCTGCTGTTTTCTCCTTGTATGTTTTTTCTTCAAGCACACGTAACTCTTAGCTCTAACTCAATGGATGATCGACATCAATGTTTTCAACCAGTGTGCTGCAAGGATTTTTTAAACACGCAATACCTGTCTATGTAGTCAGGGGCAGTGACCTCTTTTCCCTTAGTTATTAAAAAACAAAAACAAATAAACAAAAACAGCCAACACAACAATAGATGTTTGTGTGAATAAATCAAATGTAAACCTAATTTTTTTGCCAGATCAGGAAAAAAAAAAATCACTGCTCTATGTCATCTGAGCTAACCTTGACCTATCAATCTATGGAACTCTAGACGGAAGAGTATTTTAACTATTGTACAATTCCCATAAACTCCTCCCTCCTCACCTCAAATTCAGCCCATCTAAATCTTAGCACCCCTTTGCCCTCTCCAGATACCCATCTTCCCTTTAAGATGTTTTTCCCTGCAACTATCATCCTGCTTCTTCAGGCTATATTTGAGAAATCTCCCCAAATTTCTCCTCTTTATTGTGTGTTATTTCCTCTTTATTCATATCTAACTTCAGCAGAATCTGTCCCATATCTCTTTTATTCATGTTTCCCCTTCTGAGTGTATAAATGTTACCCCTTTGAAGCTTTATTTTGGAGCATTTGCACCATGGCCAATATCTCATGTTCCCTTGACACTAGTTTCTCTTTCCTTCATTCTTCATATCCATGCCTAGTGAGTTTCCATTTTCAATTTTTCAAATGGCAAAACTTCATTCTAGAAATACCTTTGTCTCCTACTTACCTGTCTTCTTATGTTCCCTCACTTTCAGGAAGGCAGTGGGCTGCCTTGGTCCTTTAAACACCTCCAGGAGTCTGTCAGATTTTATCCTCCCAACTTTTCTACCAGAAATCAGTCCACCCCCCGCCTTGTGCCTTAATCTATTTTCAGAGTGCTGCTCAAACCCATCCGCTCCAGAAGGCCTCTATCTGTGATTACTACAAGTTCGTGATCCTCAGCAGACTCCACTGCCCCCTTACACCACCATAGCTACTTTTTATTATTCTCTTTCATGAAAACTAAAGTTCATTTATTCCCTAAAACTATGACAGTGCCTTCCAGGTAAAGACCATATCTGGGTGCGTAGTTCCTAGTGCAGAGCCTAGCACAAACTTGGAATTCAGTGTTTATTGAATAAAGAAATGAATTAAATGAATGCCTGCTCTGGTGCTGAGACTCGATCTGTTACTAAGGGTCCCTACATCTAAGGAACTAAAGGAGGGTGGTTGCAGGTCGGTGGACATCTTGAGTCAAGTACAAAACTGAGTGCAGATACCCAAGTTTCAGCTAAGAGACCCGTGGTAGGCAACTTCTCTCTTCTATCAACTTCCCTTCTTAGTTTTGACAATATGTAGCTTGGGGGGGGGGGGGGGGGGGGGCGGGGGGGCGGGGAGAAGCTTTCACTGTGTTAGATTGTGTTGGGTCAGGCATATTTTTCTGGACTTAAAATAGTGGCTGTCTCTGTCACTGACCCCCATATTGCGCTATTCCCAGGAAAAGCCTGCAAACGGAATTTCAATGGTTGGGAAACATCAAAACGACATTCAGATTTCGTTTGCTTCCAACATTCAGATATTGCAGTAAAGACGCAACATAAAATTTTTCCTTCACTACCAAGAACAAAACATTTCAAGTGCAGGGCCCTATAGCTCAGGGGTTAGAGCACTGGTCTTGTAAACCAGGGGTCGCGAGTTCAAATCTCGCTGGGGCCTTCAAGGTGTTTACTACTGTTTTTAATTCTTCTCACTACTACCCTCTCTCCTATAACTTTAACCCACCCGGATAGTCGCGTCTGACCGGGCAGATCCGCTCATGAGCCTGGATGGTCGCCCAGCCCAAGCCGGAATGAGGACTGTGGAGAAAGACAATGGGGTCGAACTCTCACCAAGCGCCGCGGGCAGGTTTATGGAACCCAGAGCCAGGCCCTCCTGCCCGCGTCGGCCTTCCCAGTTACGCGGTTGGGGGCGGTTCTCCTGTTTCGGTGGTTTTCCAACACTTCAGTACCTCGGTGCGGGGGATTCGGGCTGAGACTCGGATGGCCATGGTATTGACTCAGAGATCGTGGCTTCCTCTTTTGGAAAACCTTAAAATGGTTTCACCAAAAGTAGAAACACTGGGCTTACCCGCATACTTTGTATTCCACGCCCTCTCCGGGCCCAAGTCTGCAAACGTGTAAGCTGAGAGGGGCTGGGGCGGCCGGCGCCGGTGCGCACGGCCCCGAGGCCTGGGCAGGAAGAAGGGAAATGAGACCCGCGCCCCTCGCCCTGGCTCGGAGGCTCGGAGCAGCCTGGGGAGAATGTTTCCCACTGCCTCGGTCCCCCGTTCCCCAAACCCCAAACGGCCGCTCCCACTCCAGGCACACGCCGTGCCGAGGAAGCCACGGCCTAGCGCGCTCCGTGCAAACAATGCCCTCCCCGCGGCCTGCTTCCCCTCCTTCCCCGTCTCTGCGGAGCGAAGACCCCTGCACCCTCGGGGTGCACGGGTTCTGGCAGTGCCTGTGATGGCGGTGCCTGTGACGAGCATGGGCTGGCCCTGTGTGGACGTCCCTCGGTGAAGCAGCAGAAGCCAGCTCTAGAAGGGCTGTCCCCAAAACTGTGCTGCAGGAAGTTCTCACAAGATGGTTACTCCGCGGTATCCAACTACGGGAGGGCGAAGAGTAGCTTCGCACCCTGTTTAGCTCTGACCTGAACAGGGAATTCCACAGATGCAATCTTCGCACTCCCTTCGATAGCTCAGCTGGTAGAGCGGAGGACTGTAGAGGGGCCCTTCCCAGTCATCCTTAGGTCGCTGGTTCGATTCCGGCTCGAAGGAGGAGCTGCTCTTTTGGGCTGTTCCGGTCCATGGCGTGAACCACGGGTCTGCCTGGCAGGCTCGGTTAGGCAGTAATTCGGGACTCACCGGCCTGCTGGGGAGGCTCTGCGATACCTTCTGTAAGATGCGCCCTGTTTTTTCGCTTCTGGTTGATCCTAGGTTGCTGCCTGAGGACCAGACGTCGGAGGCCAAGGACCACTTGTTGGTACAGAGTATTTTACATATGCGTGTACGTGCTCGGCCATCTTCGGGGCATTCATTTGCAGAACAAATCCCTTAAGTGTGACCTGCAGCCTGAGTGTGGGACCCCGTTATACACACACATCCGTGGAGAAAGAGAGACTTTCCATTTGTTTAGCCGTTTGTGTATTCTTATCGTTCCATGAAGGGATGTCGAGCCGCAGCAGGAAGGAGCGCTGGCACGTGACGGGAATGGGGATGAGCCGGGGAGAGAGACTCCTAAAGCGAGAATCCGTCTGAGCGGAGGCGGGGAGAACTGCGCTCACCAGGGAAACCGTGGAGGGTCTGGAACAGTGCCCCCCAGGCCGCGCGCCCCCAACCGGCTCCGGCTCCGGCGCCAGGCTGGTCCCTCGGATCCCGTGCCCGCGCCGGGAGGTAGACAGACCTCCCGCGCGTTTGTCCGGGGCTCGGACTGAACGGCTTTGAGAACGGGTTCGTCTGGCCCTCCGGCTCCCGCCCGTTTCCCTCCAGACCCGAGCTCGCGGCCAGACCGTCCGGCAGGGCTCGCACCTCCAGCGGGGCCTGGCCCCGAAAGGCCGCCCCCCGCCCCCCGGTGGGGAGCCTGGGCGGGTCCTGTATGTGGGTCGGAGAGAATGAATGAGGACAGGGCCGGAGTTCGCGTGAGAGTTCATAACGATGGGAATAAAAGTTAGAGAAGGCGAGAAACATCAACGCTCACCACAAAGGGAGAAAAACGCCGGGGTAGCCTGGCGGGGAAAACGAAATTCAGAGGAAATAGATGCAGACATTTTCTTGTCCTGGCTCGTTGGTCTAGGGGTATGATTCTCGCTTTGGGTGCGAGAGGTCCCGGGTTCAAATCCCGGACGAGCCCAAGTTTTTTTATTGGGTTTTTTGTTGTTGTTGTTTTGTTTTTTTTATTCCTTTAGGATCTACCGAAAAAACTTCTGTTCCACACAGGTTTTCTCCTGTTCCAAACTGTTCTGCAACGCGAGGCAGATGGGAGCTGATAACCTGGAGAAACCAAATTGCCTGGCTTCCTGTACTGTAGGGCCCCTGGGAGCACTGGCCCGGGTCCCACCAAGTTTCTGGGGTCGGAGCAGGCCGAGCCTTCACTGCTGTTGGGTCTCGAACCAGCTCTCCAGGGACTCTTCTGGGCGGGGCGGGGCGGGGCAGGGGCGCCCCTGCTGGCTTGGGGCTGGGGCTGGGGCTGCCCGGGCTGGGGCCAGGGAGGCGGTCCGGCCGGAGGGGCCTCCTCCGCGAAGCAGGGCGCGGTCGCAGCCGCCCCGGGACTCACTCGCCCGCGCTCTCCCCTCCTCGCCGAAGCTCCAACCGGTTGGTGTCCACGCACGACACTGACCCCACGCAGATCCAAAGCAGGAGTCAAAACAACACTTTGCGTTTTCCACCATCATCATACAAAGGACGAAGAAGCGGGTGAGAACAGAAACTTCTCTTTCCACTGTCCTGCACTTTTCCGTAACTTTGTTCCAAGGTCCAGAGGGGTTCATACTTCTTTACTTCTCCTCCTCCGTGTCGGCAACTTGACTAGGGGCGCTTGGGGCGGGGGAGTCCCTTCTCAGCGGAGACAGTGTGGGTCTCTTTTGGGAGAAGTGTTTGGAACAGGACTAGAGGGGCTGAGGAACGGGGAGGAAGGTAAAAATGTAGTCAGGTTAGTGACTCTACATTCCCACCCATGTTTACTTCCCGCACCGGGGCAGAGATGGCAACACGAATGCCTACTGCCCAGAACGTAGAATTCGAGGGGACCACTGCACAGGCGAAACCAACCAACTTGCTCACACTAAAGACTCTTTACTTGGTACTCAGGGTGATTGGCGGATTTGTTCAGTTTTTCCGGGTGGAAATGACATTTGGGGACTGGTGTTTTCATTTTATGTTCGGTCACCTCTGTCTCCTCATTCTTAACCCACACACAACCCATCCACAGCCAGTGGTGTGAAATCCTTGGAGACACTGACAACAGCCTTTTCTTTAAGCTTTCTTAATGGAACATTGGAATCCTCAGTTTTCCGACTCTGAGACAACACATCAAATGATAACAGCATAGGGGCATAACAGGACATCTTTGTTTCCGAAGGACAGTAAACAAAGTTTCAGCACCTTTGTGGGGACTAGGAAAATCTTAAATTAGCGGAGACCCTCCCTTTGTATCTTTAATAACCTTATATTCAAGTCACAAGTTTCATCACTAGAAACCCAAGCACTGTAATTATCTGTATGCCAACAGGTGGCCAACTTCCGGGAAACAGCCTCAGGTATTCGAAGAGCTATTTGACTTCACAACTACTAACTAATTAGTTCAGAATTATAATTGTGTTATTCTTTATTTCAAGCAACTTTATTTTTTACACATAAAATATTTTTGCAATTTATGGAAATATTCAGAGTAGGTTTCCTTTAAATAGCAACTTTCACAGGCACCTTTAAAATTAACTTTTATTTTCTAGAAATTAGTAGTATAAAATATGAAAGCTGCGTGGTGCATTGGAAAGCTTCTACTCCTAATGCATCTAGTCCTAGTAATACTAGATGTTCCTTGGGCCATACATGTTCTCTTCCTCTGTTCCTCAGTTTCCTTATCTGTAAAATGAGGGGTTAACAGATAGTCTCTCAGGTCCCTCTCCCTGTTTTTCTTTTTTTTATACCCTCCCAAGGACATTGATTTTTAGACAGAGTGGAGAGGGAGAGAAACATCATTTGGTTGCTTCTGGCTTGCACCTGGTGTCGGGACTCACCTAGGCATGTGCTCCAACTGGGATCGAACATGAAATCCTTTGGTTTACAGGACCATGTTCCAACCAACTGAGTCACGCTAGCCAGGGCTGTCCCTTATTCTATTAACAGCATGGAGTGGCCAGGTATTACATCCAAATTCATTTTTTAAAAAAAGTACTCCAATAATAAGAACTATCATTTGGCAAAGAGGTTAGGAAAATCCATCCCAGGAAAAGAGAAGTGTCTCTAACTCTTGTTGAAAGTGCAGATGTCAGGTTAGGGGCAGGCAAAGGTAAAAGGCTTGTCAAGTTATTGTTGGAAGTATTTAGCAGTGTGATGCATAAAGTAGATGGCTAAGAAAGTGGACCAAAGCAGACTGGCAAAAACCCTCTTTAGGAGATTTTGTTATACTGTAGTTGAGCAAAAAGCAATCTCTCTAAACAGTTATTCTCAGAGAACACTTCAAAACATCTGGGAAAGAGAGAGTGGGCACAAAGCCCAGAGTTTGTTGAAAAGTGAATAATTAATTTTTGTTCTATTTGGAAATAGAGCCATGTCAGCAGGCCTTTGTCCTCATTCCCCTCTATAAATACTGTTTCCCCTTCCTGGAAGGGGAAGCATGATCCTTCTTTTCACGTGAACTACATCCTCTTTTAACCATTACTTCTGTTACTGAGTAAGTTTCATGCGTGTAAACCCAAACTATTTAAGAGTTGTAAAGAAATTTAGAGATTAACTCCTTCCCTCCATCACTGAACTTTATAATTAGTCTTCAGGACAGAATGAAGCATATGTATAAAGGGGGAAAGTACACCAGCAGTAGGGTCCTTAGAAGGAGAACCCGAGTGTCCCATGTCTACGTGCAGGGAGACATTGGCTTGAAGAAGCGACACAGAAAAACCTTTTAGAAAAAGGGGAATAACTTTCAAGTTCAAGCTGTCAGAACACTTTTTAAGTATATGAGTATATTTTTTAATTGGCAGTTGCTTCACAGCTATTAAAATTACCGACAAATTGTAATGTTCATTAATCATAGACTATAAGTTCTTACTGTATTTTGAAACACAGATGAGTAAGCACCGAGATGCATTTTAATAAAATTGTAAAACTTTTTCCTCCAAAACTTTATTTTCTGTTTCATCATAACCTCATTGTGCCAAGCTGAAAATAAAAACAATTCGAATGAAAACAACCGTTCACCATTCTCCTGACTCTACGTCGTCAACTTTGTAGGCAGGTTGTGAATTCTCCCGAGGTTGTTAAGTGAAACCACAGAGGCAGAGAAGGGACGTGGCTCTGTTCAGAGACTGGAGGCTGCTCCCAGCATCACTGTGTAACTCTAAAATCCGAGGCTGGTCTGTTTGTGTGAGTTGGTGCTTGAACTAGTGTTTCAGGCCATGAGACTGTGTGTGTGTGTGTGTGTGCTGTTGGAATGAAGTACCTTATCTCTGTTGCTAGGCAATTTATTAGAGGAGGGTCTGGTTGAGCAACTTGTTTTGATCCCCAAAGGCTGTGGGAGTTGACTGCTGATTCAGTCTTCTTGGACTAAGGCAATCAGGGTGTTGCAATGGGCCTGGCAGCCATTTTCCCTAACAAATGACTAATGGACTCAACTTTTTTAGAACTCACCAATTCAGTGTCCATTTAAAAAGTGCTGTGTGATTCATTTATAATGGGTACCACTCTCAAAGAGCTTGTCTGCCCACAGAAGGAAAGTGAGCATTTGGGTGCTCTGCTAGATGTCAGTAGAGGCTCCACTCTATGGACCCCATGTCCTATTCTCTTTGCTCTTAAAAGACATTGAACTTAGATGTTTGGCAGAACAAATGTACTGGCTAGAGATGTGCCTGTTTCTTTCCTTTCCAGAGGCTTCAGTAACCCTGACACACCAGGTCCTGAGGGAGAGGCCGTTTATGGCGATTTGCTTGGTCCTCTTCTCACTATCCCCAACATTTTCCCCTTTAGCTCAGGATTTGGCTGGGGATACAAGGAAGAAGGGAGAGGATGGGGAGGGGAGGAATGAAGCCCAGGCAGGACAGTCTGTCCCAACACAACTGAGAGTAGTTAAAGTTTCTTTTGTGAGGGGTTGTCCATGCTGCCCATTGTCACAGAAAGGGACTGGGACTGGACCGAGGCAGGTCTGCCCTGTCATGGCCTGGGATGTGTGGGTTCTTGACTTTGTGCAGGAAAAAATTCAAGATATGAGTTGAGGTGATTTTGAGAGTATGTTTATTAAAGTTTGGTACAGTGAAACAAAGGAAGGGCTTAGAATAAAAGCAGCAAGACTACAGTAACAGAAGTGAGCCGAGGCAGGGCTGCCTTTGTCTCATGCAAAGTTAGGCAAGGGAAGAGCCCTCAGAGCTTAGGAGAAGAAAGCAAAACTGCATGTTTGAGGAAAGGGAGGGGGGATGTGCTCAAACAGGGTTGTGCACCGGGTCCTTTGTCCTGATGGCTTTATCTGTTTTCTGGAGGCTGGAATTTTAGGGGAGTTATCAATCAGAATATTCATCAGCTTTTTAGGTGTGTCTTTTAACATGCTGATGCATCAAAATGAGCGTATAGTGGGGTTTGGGATCATTTTCTTGTCAGTTTATCTTGGATTTATCTGGCTTTAACTGGGGTTTTTGTTATTCATTCTCCTGACTTGATCCATTCTTGGCTTTGGCTGACACTAATGGCATTAGCTAGATCTCTGTCATCTGTCTCCCTGACTAGGGTGATTGCTGTTCACTGTCCGGTCAGGGAGGAGAAATGTAAACCATCTGCCCCTAGTATCCTTGGTTGGGAAGGGTAGGGTCTTGTGATTTATTAGCTGGCTGTCAATACTCAGCCATTTGTTTAACTGTTTTGTCTCCATTTCCCTCATTTCCACTTGCGGGGCAATTTTTACTAACCTACCTCACCCACTTTTTTTCCACCTTAAATTCTCAGGCCCTTCCAGTTACCAAAAAAACTGTTCTTAAGGTAGGCTCTAGAGCACATGCCCAAGCATGTGTAACTCACTGACAGCTGTGAAAGAGTCCATCTCTCCTAAGAGAGATTGCACTGGGATGGGGACCAACACCTCAGAAATGAAGGTATCTCAGTGAGTTTTAAGGACTTACCAGTAAGCTAGAAGCAGAGGTTTTCTAGGACTCTTGGAAGCCTTTCTGCTCTACCTGCTTTTATTGGTAACTGTTACCAAACCCAGTTGTGTTGGTGAGTCTTAAAGAGAAGTCAGGAAAGTTTTCAAGGTTGGATCTCCAAAGTGAGGTCAGAGAATGCACTCCTGGACCATGAGGGATAAGAAAAAAACTTGGGTCCTAGGTGTCAGTCACTGTTTTAGAAACTAAGACTGTAGAAATTAATAAGATAATGATTCTTCTCTCAAAGGGTTCTATCTAATAGAGAGACAGTGAGATCAATTAACATCAAAGGAGTGATGGTTATCAGTGTTGCAGTTCTGGTGGAGATAATCCATTTTGCTATGAGGAACAGCAGATTGAATGCTCAGGCTTAGTCTCTTGTGAACAGCTGAGGATGAAAGGAAGGAAAAGCTCAGGAAATATGGCAAAAATATTTCTGAAGTTAGTAGCTAGAAGGTTGAGGTCAGGGGCAATGGGTACTAATAGCTGTCACCTAACTTTCTTTAGAAGTGCTTTCCTGGTTCCATGAAATCTGTGTAATAACCTACTTATTGGCTTGGCATCCTTTCATGAACCAAATTATGTGGGTAATTAGAAGGTACAAAGGAACAGCATCCTTCTGGGAGACCCCATGTACTCCGCAGGCTTCTTCCAAGGCAGTTCTTAGAGCTGGCCCATAGATCAGAAACAACATCTTTGGGATCCAGATCATTATATGTGAACACTGAAACCTCAGTCCTGTCATGGGCAAGAGCAAGAACCACAGACATCAAAAAAAAAGGGTGGCTTTGGGACAAAGGGCCATACTTGTATGTATCAAACTTTGCCTCCCACTGGGTTAATATTTGACATAGTCATGCCCAGGGAAAAGGTGAAGGACTTTCTTTGTTTGTCCGAGAGCAGTGTTCTTGGTTTCCATAGCTCTGCCAGGACTGGGGATTTTTGGAAGTAGTCTCCCCACCCAGTTCATTTCATCACTATATAATCAGAACCAGAGTGGGGCCTCTGGCTTCACACAGCTGCAACCCGTCTCCAGGAACAAACAGTTGGAGGCCATCCCAGAAGCCATCTTCAGTTGGAGGGAAACTTCCAGAGTTTTGTAAGATTCTCACCCCTGAGCAATATGTTGCTCTATTTGTTTTTATATATAGTATACTATTTCTAGCCATCTGTCCACTTCAGTGAAGTTATTTTTCCCCCTTTAAATCTTCTGGGCCCAAGCTGATGAATTAAGGAAATGAAACGAATCAGATTCTAAAGTTTAAAATGAAAACAAATTTCTTTTGGAATAGCCTATATGTGGATGAAGGGAAATTAGTGAGACTGGGGGCAAGTGGAGGTTGAGGAGGGATTCTTGAATTGGAATAAAATACCCAAAGATCTGGGGAAGTCATTTGCTGAAGGGTGTCTGGATGCCCCTGCTGGACACAGGAATTAAATGTGGTGGAGCAAGAAAAGAAACCAAAAATATGCCTTTAGCTCTGTTTTCTTGTAACCTTCACTACTAATTTTTCTTCTTAAAAAACATTTTGATTGCTTTTTAAGAGCCAAGTAGAACACATTCCAAGATCAAATGAAGGTACACTGGCAGGCTGAAGGAAAGAAAGAAGAAAAAGAGATAAAGGGAGGAATATGTATTGTATGTTTTGCTTTTGATTTGGGAGTATTGCCCTATAATATATAAAAGTGTGAAGCTACATTTATGGAAATTATAACCATAGTTACTAATCATAGACTATCAAGTTAACTGCCAGACACACAAAGTTGGATGGATCTCCTGAACACAAAACATTGCCTGTGGAGAGAGGAAGAGAGTGTTAATTCTTGCAATGACTAAAGGATTGGTTTGAGGCAGATGATAAAGTTTGTCTAATGTCAGTTGGGACGAATTTCACTGACGAAAAGCTGGCTGACAGTTATGTGCTTAAATATGGGAAGACACGTGTGAATGAGTTTGACCACCAGATGTGATGCCCGCACCCTTGGCCTGGACAGGTTCACTTCCACACCACAGATTATCTATCTCATACTTGTTTTCTCTCAAATTTACTTTACCTCTTTTTGGGATATTTAGGTTTGAATATATGAGTAAGGAAGTTGTATGTCATGGAGATATTAAATACTGGTGGCCATGGTCTGTACTGGTTGGGATTTGATTTCTGGATGTCTTGGAGGAGTTAATATTACAGTAAGCCTGAGCAAAATTTAGCTGAGTTTTAACAAAATGAATGTGCAAATTCTGCAGATTAAAAACAAAGATTCTCCTTTACCTCTCCAGACTGGGATGTGAGACCTTTAACCTCCAACCAGCAAGTGGCTTTGCAGGATGTGAATCCCCTGTGTAGCATTAGTCCAGTGACTAAGCTAGAGTTGGTCTGTGGGCTTGGCTTATCCACTGAGCTTTAAGAAATGATACATCTCAGTGAGATTGGGTCACAGATCTTCTTATCATCTATTTCTTTCACCTGGTGCCTTCTGCCACCAACTAAACTTATACAAACTTGTCTCTTTAATTCCACTCAACTCTGGCTAGTAAAACAAGAAAAGATTCTCCTATGCTTAATGAGAATCATGGAATTTCAGGCATTAGAATTAGCAACTCTCTCATTTTACAGATGAACAAACTTAAGCCTGGAGAGGAAAATCAAGTCAATCATTTAAAAAATATGTTGAAGGTCTATTGTGAGGCAGGCACTCTGATTCAAAGTGAGTAATAAGGGCTCTGCCTTCCTGTAACTTATCAGTAGGAAATACCGACAAGTGAACAGGTAATTGTTTGTCTAAGAGCACGTGGATAAAGGCTTGGAAATGGCACCCATTAAAACCGACAACAGGTGTATCGTGTGTGTGTGTGTGTGTGTGTGTGTGTGTGTGTGTGTGTGTGTGATATCCTTATAGGCAGATCCTGAGCTTTGTGACTTTTGCTTTGACACTCATATCTAGTGGGGTGTCATTGGTCTTCAGATGTAAAGCAAAGAGTGTTTAGACAGAAACTCTAGACAGGCCTGCCAGCTCAGACTCCCTTCTGTGACAATATCCCCACAACCTGTACAACTCTGGCACCTCCTACAAGGACCCAGGGCCTGCTCTACAGCATAAAAGTCATTGGCAACATTTCTATCCACCACTGCCACCTAGTGACCCTTTTGGCTACTACCAGCTCTGGTTCTACTTTCTGATTTTAAAATATATATATATATATATAGTTTATTGGTTGTGCTATTACAGTTGTCCCATTCTACTTCCTGGTTGAATCTGGGATTCTGGCCCCAAGGCAGAGAGGTGTTGACTCTGTGACCTCGAAGGTCCTGTTTGTTCCATCTTGGGAGCCTGCAATTTTACAATTGCTTTTGACATTAGAAGGCAATATTTGTCTATCACAGAGGAAGAGACTGAATTGAATCCAAATCAATAAAACTTTGATGAGGTCTTCAAAAAAGTAACACTACAAGCCTAGTGCTGGAACCCATAGCATTTTTAAGTGCTATAAAAAGATTTCACCTGAAAATAACATTTATTGACCTATACAGAAGAAAAGCACAAAATAAAAATTAATAATTTAATGTTTATGAGAATGTGCCATTTGTTTCTAAATTTAGGATTTATATGAATTACATTCTACTTAGGCATAACTTGAAGGTCATATTTTTCTCCCATTGGAAGAATATGTGTAATGATTGCTAAAAGCCATAGGTAATCAAAAAGTAAATGAGTCATTAATAGACAAAAAAAATTGAAAAACAAAATTATAAAACAGTTTCAAATATATAGTGAAAAGTCATTTTCATTATTGGATGTGGGAACAGTCACACATATTTGATATAATGTGGGGTAAAACTATAATGGTTTTTAAAGGCTCTGAATATTCTTTAAAATTTTCTCCAAAGAACTAAAAGTATAGTCAGAAACTACTTACTACAAACATCAAATATTTTTTAATTCTTAAATCTTCAAATTTCTTGTCATAAAGTTTTCAAGTTCATAAGAAATTTGTTTTCTATTTTGTTATAATCTATACTTGTTTAATTCTATAATATTTTCATACCTATCATTGGGTGTGTTTGAACATTTGTGACACACTACCCCTAGGAAGTGTGAGTTCTACACTTCAGACTGAAAGTCCTTAAGAGATGACGGCAGCAATTCTCTTCTCTTCCTTATTCTTTTGAGGAAAATGTTAAGAAATCATAATAGCAAATTCTAAGGGCTTTGACTTGAAGAAAATTTCTGAGGAGGTTGTATTATTTGTTTTTTATCACATAGTAACATCATTTGCCTGTTGTGTAACAGTCTGTGTATATTTTCAGGAAAAACTAGAAAATATTCTCTAAAAATAATCCCTATTGTTCCCAAGGTGAGAAGTTCCTAAGAATAAGCTTGAATTTCTCATCGCCTGTAAAAGTTGACCCCATATCCACTTCCAAGCATTACATCGATTCCTTTACTCTCCTCTCAGTTTTTTTAATGGTATATAATAATTACATATTTGATCACAAGCCACCTAATTCTTTAGGAATTGGGTCTGTCTCCCTTCTCCTTAGGGTTAGGCAAACAACTGCTCTCCTCATAGCCAGTTGACTTACTGACTTCAATACCTGGAATTCTGTCTTCAACAGTCCTTAGACTGACCCTTCCCTGGGCTCAGATTTCCCTAAAAGTGCCTCTTTTTCATAACTCTTACCTCCTATCTTACTGTCTCGTCTTAGTGAACTGGAGTGCCTGTCCCTTCCCCATGGATGCTACATCTCCTTTTAGGGAGGCATTTGGTGTATTTTCATAGTCTATGTGTTCCAGGATCTAACAGTGTCTGGTACCCTGTAGGGAGGGGCTTATGTAATGCTTGTTACTAAATTAATTAATAACTGTATTAAAGAGTATGAATGGATATTGTGATGCTATAACTAATAGAAAGGTAAGTACTCAGTAAATCTTAAGGGATAAGGCTGAATGGTTGGGGCTGGAAGCCGTGTTCCGGAAACTTAGATTGCTTTTCCAAAGGAATGGATTGACAAGAAAGATGAGATTAATGAAGAAGAGAAAAGATATAATTAGGTGACTGGGGACACCTGACTCATGATGCTCTGTTAGAAAAGTCCCTGTCCTTTTAGCCTAATTTGCTCTACCATACCTCCTTTGCCCTTGGCAGGCACCTTTGTTGGAAGAAATGATGATAGGCCTGGGTCCCCTGTTGTTGGTCTTCCTGCTGGGTCTGAGTCTGACCCCATCCACCCTGGCTCAGGATGACTACAGGTACAGACACTTCCTGACCCAGCACTATGATTCCAAACCAAGTGGCCGGGATGACAAATACTGCAACATCATGATGGCCAGACGAAACATGGATTCACCCTGCAAAGACACCAACACCTTTATTCATGGCAGCAAGAAAGATATCAAGGCGATCTGTGATGATAAGAATGGGGTGCCTTACAGAGAAACTTTCAGACAAAGCAAGTCTTCTTTCCAGATCACCACTTGCAAGCATATAGGACAGTCCTCCTGGCCTCCCTGCCGGTACAGAGCTAATAAAGGGCACAGAGTCATTGTTGTTGCCTGTGAACGTGGCTTTCCTGTCCACTTTGATGAGTCCTTTATCCGTTCATAAGAAGCAGGCCACTGGCCCAGAGTGGGCTCTGCTCTCCATTCCTTGCATTTCTCCTACACACTGCAGAACCGTGGCAGCAACATTCATTGCCAGGGGCCCAGGAAATGAACGGCCTGGATCTTTTGTTTTCAGTTTTACAATATGTTAATAAATAAAAATGTCTCTGAAATCAGTAAGAATCAAAATCTTCTCACCAATTCTTGGCCTGTTGATTTTTTCCTATTTTCTCAATGCCTCCCTGAGAGGATTGGATGGAATGCAAGTGTGTTTTTTCCCTTCTCGGTCATTAGAGTAGACTTTACCTTTCTGTGAATTTAAGGATGTTAAATATATTTTATAGAGAGAGCCAGGAAAATCCCAGTGCTTGCGGTTGCTAAGCAGAATTTTCAGGAGGGGCAAATTGTTTTTTGCTGTCAAATAAGCCAATATTACTTTTACAGATGTTAAACTTTGAGGAGTAGAGTTTAATCAGATTAGTTAATCTCTCTTTCTCTCACTCTCTCTCACAGACACATACACAATCCTGCATAAATACCAAAATTCATTCCTGATAGCTACCTCTTCTCTTAGGCAGGAGGTTATTTTGAGATGCTTTGAATAGATTGCTCCCAGGGTATTCTCATGATTCCTTTATATAAAGATTAAAAAATTGATCGCATTGTTTTTTCTTTAATCTTTTACTTTATCCACCAATGTCTGGCAACTATGAGGTCTTTAGGAATTTATGGAAAGATTCCAAGCTTATCCCTTATTCTTATTCAACTAGATTTGTTTCCAAATAAACACAAACTTAGGTAAGCAGACACCTCTTTTTGAAATATACTAATCAATTCACAGATTTAGTGGTAACTTCTTTCTACCTAATTTCTATCAACAGATGCCAGGATATTTTATTTAGAAAGTGCTTGTTAATAAATTAGAATTATAAATCGCTAGTTTTGCTGTCCCGTGAATCTATGACTATGTTGGTCACAGTATTCCATATGGTGGCCTCTCCTGCTGTCTACACTGCCCTGAAATGGGCCAAAAGCCCTGCCTCCTCAATAACCAGGTTATAGCCCTGGCTGGTGTGGCTCAGTTGGTCAGAGCATTGTCCTGTAACTGAAAGGTTGCAGGTTCTATTCCTTGCCAGGGTACATACCTAGGTTGTGGGTTTGGACCCCACTCCAGGTGTATATGGGATGCTTCTCTCTCACGTCAATGTTTTTCTCTCTCCAAAAGCAATGGGGGGAAAAAAGATCCTCACGTGAGAAAAAACCCACCCAGGTTATATATCAGCGTCCAGGTGCCACCTGGAAGAGCACCCAGTATTTAAATTTATGGAAGAAGAGTTGGAGAAGTAGGTTACTAGTGCACACTCAGCACACGAATCTTTCTACCTTGAGTAAGTCTATTTCAAAATTGAAATCACTATCATTTCCTGAAAAAGTAGGGAGAAACATTTTCCAAACCTCTTTTACTAGAAAATTTGCCATATTGTAAAATCTCAAAAACCTCTTAGGAAGTGAGAAAGTTGCAGTTTTTGGTGAAATATTTGGACCCTTTGGCATGTTCTCCAACCAGTACCATCTCCTTGATGCGAGGCAAGGTGACTTCCATACAGATCATTGACCCACCTGAGGTGTTGATGGGGAAGGCCAAAGGTATGAACCATTATTATATGGAGTATGCCATAGCTGTGAAAATGCATGTCTTCTCCAAACACCTGCTGACAGTACTATCATTGCATACTCTGCTCTAGTGTTAGGGCAAATCACTTGGCAGTGGGATGGGGCTGCTTCCCGACCTGCTGATGGAACTAGCTGCTGGGTAGCCAATCCTAGTACTTCTTGCTCTGGGTCTCTTGTTCCTTCACAACTAAAAGAATGAAATGTCATGTGATGGGCAAGTCAGTTTTTATCTCAAGTGAATTATTTGAGGAACTGAAGTCCTGGTCAGCTGTGCTTTGTTGACCTTTTCAAGGAAAAGAGAAGAAAAACCTGAATATGCCAAGTCCTTTCAAGAATGGTGACATGGAAGGAAGAAAATTCCACTCAAACACAAAGAAGAAAATCTGTAGGGACACAGCATAAATTCTAGTAATTGAGATATTTCAACTTAAAAAACAGCCTTCGGACTTTGAAAGAATGCAGGTACTCTATGAAATAAAGGGCAGGAGAGCAATAACATTCGCAACTTGGTGTAGTCATTCAATATTTTATCCAATTTGAAGGAAGCAAAGGAAACCAAGAAATATGGAAATTATAAAAATTATAATTGCCAACATTTACCGAGCATTTACTATGTATTAGGCATTATGATATGCACTTAACATTCACTTTATCACTTATTCTTTATAACATCCCTAAAAGGTATTTTTATACTCACTTTCTTATGAGGAAATATGCTGAGACAGGTTAATTTCTCCCAGATCTTACAGTTATGTGGCAGAATTAAGTTTTTGGGATCATAGTATCAAAAGAAGTTCTTACTGAGAATCATTGCAGTACAGTGGAGAAAGACTTTGGGACAAGCTCTGACTGAAAAGGATGCATTGGGATGATTTGGGTATCATTGCATTTTCTCTTGTAGCTACAGCCTTGAGATGTACCAATTGATGTCTACATTTAGCTTCCATTCACAAATACTTGTCCATGTCTTGTTAAATCACTTCATTAGTATGGCCAAGGCCATGGACTTACCATTGCATGAATAATTTAAGTCTTCTCTATAGCCAGTTATTTTTCTAAATTATAACTTGGATACAAGGAAGCACAATGAGAAAAAATCAGATAGAACTGTACAAAATTAAAGGGGCAAGAATAACCATGCAAAGTTACATTTGGGAAAAACAACTCAAAGCACATTGTTGTGATGATGCCCAAGTGCTAAGTATACCTTCAGAAGTCCTGTGCATGAGTCTTAGAAGAGGAGTAAATCAAGCATCATTTCTCCTTGCTACTCTTCTTCCCACACCATTCGCTTCTCTCTCTAACTCCACATCTCATATATACAGCTGCAGGCACTGGAATGTGACAGACCATTGAGTTTCCTGTGCTCAAGCAAGAGTGGCTGTGAATATAGAAGGTAGCATTTAAAAGAATAAAGTTATGTTTGATACTCGTATGCATGTCCCTCATGAGCCATTTCAGTCACTCAGTCAGTGTGATCTGCCATCATGAAGCAGCATCTTTGAAAGGATGGTAGTACCCATATACATCAAACCAAGAGTTCAACGATGGCCAGCCCTTGAACTGCATATGTGAGAAGAGGCCTGTATGACTCTCAAAAAATTGTCCTTTCTGTTTTGAGTTGCTCACTTCCTATTGAATTAGAGATGATTTTCTTTGTTTGAATGCAGTGATTTTCAACTGGTGTGCTGCAAGAATTTTTAAAATATGATGTTTAGTCAGGGATACTGACCTCTTTTCCCTTAGATTGTAAAAAAAAACTTTGATAATAGTCAACACAACAATAGCCATCTGGTGTGAACAAATCAGAATTATACCTATTTTTTGTCAGACCAGAAAACATTTTTTGGTAGAATTTTAGTAGTTACTTTATGTGTGCCATGAGATGAAAAAGGTTGAAAATCACTGCTGTAGTGAGTCAGTCCTGCCTCATTGACAGTAGATACACAGTTCATGAGTTCCTGCCAAAACCAGGAGTGACAGCCAGATGGCAGCATCGAGCTAGTTAGTGTTGGTGAGGGATTTCCACTTCCACTCCCACCCTATTCTATCCCTGATTAAACTCTGTTGCTAGAGAGAAGCAACTCTGAACATAAGATGTCTTTAATATCCTGGGGAGTGGAATGATTGAGACAATAGAAGATGTGGAGAAAGCACAGGTTTTAGAGTCAGATAGGTCTCAATTCCTTTCTTCACTCCGTCAACAAAAATAATATTCTCAAAGCAGGGATATCCAACCTGCAGCCACTGGCCAGATACATTCCAGAATGACTGTAAATATGGCCCAACACAACATCATAAATTTACTTAAAACATTATGAGATTGTTTTTGTGATTACATGTGACAATGTATTTAAGGTGTGGCCCAAGACAACTTTCCTTCTCCCAGTGTGGCCCAGAGATGCCAAATGGTTGGACACCCCTGCTAAGTCAATGCTTCCTTTGTTGTGGCTCTGAAAGTTTTTGTTTTTTTATTTTTTAACTCTGTAAAACATGTTTATTTTCCACTGCCAAAAGTGCCAACAAAATGATTCTGCACCCAGAGAAGACAGAAAACTACCATCAGCTATTGACAACACAGAGCATCAAGGGTAGATGCACGGCAGTGGAATATATCACCAGGGCCTAGTTTTTAGGTTGTGCACAAAAACAGCAAGGAAAAAAGACAGTCCAAGTCCTCTTTTGTGGAAATTGTGCTGTTGAGATTTGTTTGGTTGTTTCGAGATTTTATTTATTTATTTTTAGAGAGAGGGGAAGGGAGGGAGAAAGAGAGGGAGAAAAACATCAATATATGCTTGCCTCTTGTGCATCCCCTGCTGGGGACCTGCCCTGTAACCCACGCATGTGCCCTTACTGGGAATCGAACTGGCAACCCTTTGATTCACAGGCCAGAGCTCAATCTGCTGAGCCACACCAGCCAGGGTGAGATTTGTTTCTTTTAAAAAAAATTTTTTAATCAATTCCACAGCCTGGGAAACACCTTCAGTCTCTATACCCATTTTATTTCATTTGTTAATTAGGTCATTCATTTCATTTATTAGTTCATTCGACAGATATTTATTATCTGCAAAAGCTGCAGCTGGGTACTCTGTTTTAGACTTTGTTTTTTACAGGCTTAGCAAGATTTCCAAAAGGACCTGATGTTAATACCCTTAAAAGAATAGCCACATGGTTGAAAAAGGTGAAGGAATCAAGAAGTACAAATTGCCAGTTTTAAAAATAGTCATGGGGACATCAAGTAAGCATTAGGAATCTAGTAAAAAAAAACATTGTAATAATTACATATGGTGTCAGATGGGTACTGGACTTAAGAGTGATAACTTCATAAGGTATATACGTGTCTAATCACTATGTTGTACACCGAAAGCTAATGTAATATACATCAACTATAGTTGAAAAAAAATTTAGTTTAAAAAAGAGTAGACACATGAAGTAGACACAGAAAAGGCTAAACCCAAGCATTATTCTTTCCTTTTTCTGCAACTTCCTCAATTTACAAATATCAGGAATTAAAATCAGTTTATAAACTTTCCTTGACACACCCTCAGTCCATCCAAAATTTTGGGATTCAGAGTCTCCAGGGAACCAAACACTCTCCAAAGGTCACATGACTAGAGAACTCCCTCAAGAGACAGAGAACTTCAGTTTTATTTAGATCTGCCTTTTCTTCCTTTTCACACCCTGACCATACAGGATGTACACCTGTACATCCACCCTGTCAGTCTCTGCCATGAGACTTTGTGCTCGCTGTAGCAACTTCTCTCCACAAAAGAGAAAGGCTCCTCCTTTCAGAGAAGATCATGTTTGCAAACTTTTCACTCTTGGGGAAGCAGTGGTGAGAAAAATTGTGAGAAAAGAAGAGTGGGGAGGAAAGTGTAGAGCTTGTCATTCTCAAAATCTTTCTGGTGCTCATTTGTTACCTTCCTTTCTTCTTCCCTTTGGTTTCTCTCTAGGCATCTCCAAGGCAGTGATGGCTCTCCAGAAGACCCTTTCATTGCTTCTGCTCTTGTTGCTGACCCTGCTGGGGCTGGGGCTGGTGCAGCCCTCCTATGGCCAGGATCGCATGTACCACCGATTCCTGCGGCAACATGTGGACCCCGATAGGGCAGGTGGCAACGATGGCTACTGTAACATGATGATGCAGAGACGGAGGATGACTTCACATCATTGCAAGCAATTCAACACTTTCATCCATGAGGACATCTGGAACATTCGTAGTATCTGCAGCACCACCAATATCCAGTGCAAGAACGGCAAGATGAACTGCCATGAGGGTGTAGTGAACGTCACAGACTGCAAGGAGACAGGAAGTTCCAAGGCCCCTAACTGCAGATATAGGGCCATGACCAGCACTAGGCGTATTGTCATTGCCTGTGAGGGTAACCCAGAGGTGCCTGTGCACTTTGACAGATAGATGGTACCGTGCAGGGGTTAGGGCCCAGTGGTTGAGTAGCAATGAGTAATGTATTTGAGCTTTCCCAGTCTCTGTCTCCTCTGCTTACATCTACTTATTTTTGTTTATGTACCCCACTTTGTTAAATGCATCAAAGAGAAATGGAGACATATACCTAAAATGAGACTGGAGTTTTCTGTAATAAACATTTCAGTAAAATCTTCTGCTTCCTTTTATAATACTGGTCAGCATAGCTCTCTCAGATCCTACCCTCTGGAATTTAGTCATATGTATTTATGTAGCATTTCAAATATTTCCAGGTGCTTGCACCTCAGTTATCTCATTTTAATACCACAGCACCCCTGTGATGCTGATGGTGCTATGTATAGGAGCCCAAAGTTAAGGGATTTGCTGAAGACCATGAAGTTAGTGAAAAAGCTGAAGCAAAAAATCCACTTCAACTAGCTACTAATAGAGAGCTTTTTCTACTTTATCATAAAAAGTGTTTCAAAAGTATCTGCTTTTTGATATTCCCAAAAGTCAGCTGTTGGGGGAAGCATTAAAATTTTGCAAACATGTGCTGATAAATGAGAGTTCTATCTGTTTGATTTGGCAACCCTGTTATGTTTGGGTCTAATAAGATCAAGAAATGATGTGGGACAACTGTGACTAGACAGCAATAAAAATAAGAAGTTCAAGAAATGATACAAAGATTTTTTTCTCTTTTCCCAAACTTGTGAATCACTGTAGTAAGTCAGAATATTAACAACATACTAGATTGTTAACACTCGGTCACTCTTCACAAATGAAAGATTTTTCATGTTTTCTTTGTAATAAAGAACTCAAACTGCAGGTATCTGTGAAAATGGTGCTATGGTTCTTGTGTGGGGAATTTTCCCCTCTATCCTCTTTTAATTCTTCTATCATTTATAAACACACACCAACACCTTAATATCCTCAGAAACTCTGGTCCACGACTAACGCCTATCTGTTCAATGAACATGACACAGAAACATTTGTGTCATTTACTAAAGACAATTCTCACATCTCTCCCTTTCAATACAGTCAGACCTCGGTACTCATTGGCTTCAGAACTCGTCAAACCCTACACTCGTCACATTTTGACAAGAGAAAAATGTTTCAGCACTCAGTGCTTGCTCCATAGTCATGGCACTGACTAGAATTTGTATGAGTCATGATGCTGCCCCTCAATCGAAAATGCTCAGTCACTCATTGCTTGCTTGGTACTTGTCACAAGTTCTAGAACAAATTGACAACAAGTACCAAGGTACCATCGGATTTTGAAACAAATTGAGTAACAGAGATATATGGAAACAGGTAACTAAAAAGGAAAGTGTGTGTGTGTGTGTGTGTGTGTGTGTGTGGTAGAGTATGTGTGTGTATATGAAGGAAATAAACTGAAAACATTTGAATTACAGCAGATACACATTGTTTATATTTAATATGTGCAACCTGATTCAGTACAGATACACATTGTGAAATAATCACTGCAGTCAAGTTAATTAGCATATCTACTTTCTCAAATGGTTACCAAAAGTGATTCCATTTTCAACTGTTTTGGACTCTATTTGTTTATTTTTAATCCTCACTTGAGGCTATGTTTATTGATTTTTTTTAGAGAAATAGGTAGAGAGACAGAAGGAGAGAGAGAGACTTCAATGTGAGAAAGAAATATCAATTGGTTGCCTCCCCTACATGCCTAGACTGGGTACCCTGACAGGGAATCAAACCTACAACCTTCAGGTGTACAGGATGATGCACCAACCAACTGAGCCACCCACCCAGAGCAAAGACTTCATTCTTTTTAATACTACTGAGCATCACAGCTTAGCTTAGCCAGTTTCTATTGAATGCATATTGCTTTTGCATCATTGTAAAGTCAAAAAATCATAAGCCTGAAACATCCTGACTGAAATTGTGAGTCACTTTGGCTAAGTCATGTCATCAAACTAAAACTTAATAACTAACCAAATTTCAGTTTCAGCCTTTTCCAGAGATGAAATTTTAAACTAATCAATCTGCAAGTTTCCTGGTCAGCACTGATGAGGTAATCTACCTGTTAAGTTCCCCTGCCTTCCCCTAAATGAAGGTAAGCTTGCTTAAAATAACCCACTCCTTTTAACTTCTTAGTCCCATTCTTCTGCCTATAAAAACCTTCCATTTCATACAACTCATCAAAGCACCTCTCTAGTTGCTAAATGGGATGCTGCCCTGATTCCTGAATTGCTTAATACAGCCAATTAGATCATCAAATTTACTTGGTTGAATTTTGTTTTTTAACACATGCCCCCAGGGCCTTGCCATCTCTTTGTATCCAGAAGACTGCTTTTGATGTATGATACCTTTGCTCCAGGCTAATTTCAGAGTGAACCCAAGTGTTCTAGATGAGAAGATAGAGAAACAGGTTCACATAGTGAGACTGCCCCTCTCCCACACCACCACTGCCACTCAGTTGGAACACTGCAAACTCCTCATCTATTCTTTACCACTGCAAACTTCTTAGCTCTACGAAAAAAGAAAGGACACAGACCCTCTACTCTTTAGATCACATACTGACCCCCACTGCGACCAGTGCCGTGAGTATTGAATCTGAATAGGGCAAAATTAGAAGGATTGGTACTAAGGATGATTGGGGGGAAAGGTTCAGGAACACTAGTAGGGGTTTGATTGAACTTCTGGGTGGCAGAGTTGAAAAGGCAAAGTGATCAAAACTTGTAAAAAGCAAAGACCTGAATTCAACTCAGCATTAATCTCACTGATACACACCTTCCTTCCTCCCCAATCTTTTCAAGCATAATACATTGGAGCAGCTTGAATTCTGGTCTTCTCATCCTATTTTGGCTATTTGAGCTAGGGATAGGGTGCCACAAAGGAGCATGTGCCTATTTCTTGTTCTGTGCCTGATGTAGCACTTGAGATCCTCAAAAGTGCTCTCACACAAATCTCATTAAACTCTCACAGGTCTGTAGGGGAGCTATTATTAGGCTTATTTGAAGACACCAATTCTGAGAGAGATGATAATAATTAGAGTTTCTGTAGGGCCAGGTAACTTCTCATGGTAAATGAGGACAAAGCTGATTTAAAGTGGAGACTTTCTCGAATGTCTCTAAGCACTGATTTTGACCAGAGTAGCTCCTGTGAAGGCAATTTCAATCTTGATACTTGGTTGATTAGAATATTTCAAAACTGGAATTTCTTTATGATGGTTTTCTTTTTTAAAGATATATATTTTATTGATTTTGCTATTACAGTTGACTCAAATTTTCCCCTTTTGCCCCCTCTGCCCAGTACCCACCTTCCCTCCTACAATCCTCCCCTTAGTTCATGTCCATTGGTCATGCATATAAGTTCTTTGGCTTCTCCATGGCCTATACTACACCCCCCTGTATATTTTGTACCTACAAATTATGCTTCTTTTTTTTTAAAGATTTCATTTATTTATCTTTAGAGGGGAAGGTAAGGAGAGAGGGAGGGAAACATCAATGTATGGTTACCTTTATGTGTCCCCTGCTGGGAACTGGCCTGCAGGGAACCGGCCTGCAACCCAGGTATGTGCCCGGACTGGGAATTGAACCACGATTGTTTGGTTCGCAGGCCTGCGCTCAATCCACTGAGCTGCAACAGCCAGGGCTCCAAATTATGCTTTTTAATCCCATTTCCCCCATTCTCCTTCTCACCCTCCCAACTGATAACCCTCCATCTGATCTCCATGTCTATGATTCTGTTCCTGTTCTCATTGTTTGCTTATTTTTTTAGATTTAGTTGTTGATAGTTGTGAATTTGTTGTCATTTTGATGTTCATAGTTTTTATCTTTTTCTTAAATAAGTCCTTTCACCATTTCATGCAATAATGGCTTGGTAATGAAGAACTCCTGCCCTTCAGTTCTTTTGGTTCCCAGGTCTACACTCAATCCACTGAGCTATTCCAGCCAGGGCTTGCCCTTCAATTCTAAGTGATAGCTTTAGTGGATACAGTAATCTAGGTTGTAGGTCCTTAGTTTTCATCACTTTGAATACTTCCTGCCTGTCCTTTCTTGTCTGCAAAGTTTCTTTTGAGAAATGAGCTGAGTATCTTATGGGAACTCCTTTGTAGGTAACTCTCCGCTTTTCCCTTGCTGCTTTTAAGATTTTCTGTTTATCTTTAACCTTTAATTTTAATTATGATGTGTCTTGGTGTGTTCCTCTTTGGGTCCAACTTGTTTAGAATTCTGTATACTTTCTGAACTTGTATGTCTATTTGCTTCACCAAATTAAGAAAATTTTATTATTTTTTTCAAGTAAGTTTTTCTTGTTCTTCCTCTTCTTCTTCTGACATCACTATGACTTGCATGTTGGTATGTTTGGAGATGTCCCAGAGGCTCCTTAGCCAATTCTTGGTTTTTTAATTCTTTTTTTTTCTTGCTGTTCTGGTTGAATGCTTATTCCTTTCTTATGTTCCACATTGTTGATTTGAATCCCAGCATCTTCCCCTTCACTGATCATTCCCTGTAGGTTTATCTTTATTTCACTTAGTGTAATCTTCATTTCTTTCTTTATGTTGTTGTCACATTCAATGAGTTCTTTGAGCATCCTGATCACCAGTGTTTTGAACTCCACATTTGATAGGTTGATTATCTCCATTTCATTTAGTTCTTTTTCTGGGGTTTTGTCCCATTCTTTCATTTGGGCCTTATTTCTTTGTCTTCTCTATTTGGCAGCCTCCCTGTCTTTGTTTCCACGTATTAGGTAGTGCTGCTTTGACTCCCTGTTTTAGTAGTGTGGCCTATTGTTGAAAAGGCACCCATCTGGATGAAAGTAACTTCTCTGAATCCTTAATTGCAGATTTCCATACAGCTCAATTTCCTGACAACTCTGGATGTTATTTGTTTTGAAATCTAGTCGTAATTCTTTCTCTGGTTCTACAAGGAGGCAAAGCAAGTCTACTTATGTCTCCATCTTGACTGGAACTATGATGTTATTTTTAATGGTAAATCAAGGTCATTCATCAGGATGATAATTAGAGAAATAACCTTTGAGAAAGAAAGTGGGTAGTCAAAAGTGATGTTTCCCACAGACTTTAGGGTATTGTAATAAGGAAGTCAAGATTAGATAACCACCATCTACAGAGTCAGTTTAACTGCAGCCTGGGATTTCAGGGAACTAAAGCCTTCCTGCTTGGAAAATGTATCCCAACTCTTTATTTGTCTTCTACATTTTCTTGAAATGTCATTCTTGAAATGACAACCCTTTCTACTTCACAGACATAAAACTGAAAGTACCATTCTCTTTCAGACACACTATTTTATGAGAACCCATCTTTACTGTAAAACAGAGCTAGCTAGAACACTCATTGGTTTGGATAGAAGAGAGGGCAGAAAGGAGGTATTTGGAGTTCTCAAAATAAATGTCATCTTGTTTTACAATTTTGTGCTTGTCTTACTCAGGCTGTAGCATATTTCCAGTTCTTATACATTTTATTAACTAATGAGACTTATCTTCCAGCCTGGAACCAAATGGTAAAGTTGGGCCTACATGCCTACATTGGCATGGAAGGAATTTTAAGGTGGAGCTCAGCTCTTAGGACATTGTTGTAGTAAATACTTTGCTCTTTCTCTCGTGTTGACCCACAGGTAACCCTGGTGACTAAGATGCCATCCTGTCTAAAGGTCCTAGGTCCCCTCTTGTTCCTGCTGTTCTCTGTGTGGGGACTCCTTGTAAACAGTCAGCAGCTTTCCTGGAGGGAATTCATGAAACAGCACCACCTGAGCACAAACTTGAAATTCAGTGAGTACAAATGCAATGATCTCATGAAGGAAAGAGAAGCTCCAAAAGACCAGAACTATCAGATCTTCATCTATACCTTTTGGTACAAAATCGAGCACATATGCATCAGGAACTGGAGAGATCGCTACAGAAATATATATATATGGGCCCAGCATCCCTTCAAAATACTCAAGTGCTACCCAGGAAATAACAAAAAGAGCTACAAAGAGCACAGGAGCTACAGCTACATTGAATTTCATTGTAGTATGAATGGGTTTGTTGATAGCATAGAGGACACCCGGTTGTTAGATATTATCAGCAACTAGAAAGTCTACACACAGCTCCAGGTTTTAGAGTTAATGCTTCCCAAGTTGTGATGGGCCTGCCCACATCAATAATCCTTACTAATCCCCACTTTGCGTTTATGTGCCAATGTTTTCCAACTACTTAAAGTTATGTGTCACGTGGTTTCATGTGATACCTATAACTTCACCATGTTGATTCTCTGTCTGGAATATACTTCTACACTCATTTATCTGCATTACTCCATTTTTCCTTTTTTCTTTTGTCAAGACTCAGCTCACATGGCATCTCTTTTTGACTAATCCAAGAATTTTGCTTATATTGACTCCTTATATCTACCCAAGCTGAATGATCTTTTTTCCTAAATAAATTATATCATTCCAATATGTGTGACTTTTATATATGCTATATGTGCACAGTATGTGTTGTGATTGGTGTAAGTGTTAGAGGTATGCGTGATATATATTATGCTTGGATGTGACTTGTGCTGTATGTAGGTTTAAGATGAGACTTATGTTTGTAATATGCTTATGTGTATGATAAGAATGTAAATATTTATGTACTCAGCTAAGGAAAAGTTGTGACGTAGGCATTGATTGTGTCGACATGCTGAATTTCACTCAGACTGGGGGGTGTGAGCAAAGCTGATTGAGTATAACATGTGGTATGGTCCTGGCTCATAGTGCTCAGTCAACATTAGTTTTCTTCCTTTTCCATCCTTTGGCTTGATACTTTAATTTAGACTTTGATAAAGCCAAAATCACAAGTGCCCATCAATTATCTACTCTTCCTGGCTTCAGAAGATAGAAGTTTCTAATGTAAAAAATACAGTAGAATGCCATCTATATGAAAGCTATAAGTTCCTAGAATTATAAAGCATCTTCTCCATCAGCTATAGAAGGACAGAGGTGCCTACTGAACTCATTTGTTAAGACTATCTCTAAGCCCTGGCTGGTGTAGCTCAGTGAATTGAGCGCAGGCCTACGGACCAAACAATCGAGGTTTGATTCCCAGTCAGGGCACATGCCTGGGTTGCAGGCCGGTTCCCTGCAGGCCAGTTCCCAGCAGGGGACACATAAAGGCAACCATACATTGATGTTTCCCTCCCTCTCTCCTTCCCTTCCCCTCTAAAGATAAATAAATAAAATCTTTAATAAAAAAAAAAGACTATCTCTAAGAAGGCGAATGCATTTTAGCTGGGTTAAGGCATTATGTTTCCTGAAGAATAATATATAATATAGAAGACATCAGCACAGTCCAGTTTATCTGATAATAATCATTTTCACTTGGCAGAGATATAAGGTGGGATTGGAGAACTTTAAAACAAAATCTTCTCATGAATGAAGCTCAAGACTTAAATTTTGTTGGAGGGAAGAGGAAGTAAATTGGAGGAGGAAATGTCAAGGACACAGGTAATCAGAGTCATCTAGATTTCTGTTTGCTAAATGGTGGTGAAAGATACAGAGTAAGAGAAATATTTGCTTCATACAATTTTGCCTAAGGCAGGCATGGGGAGAAGAAATACCCAACATTAAAGTACAGTGCTTGTGTTCTTCAGCCTCCTGCATTGCTGAATGACTCCAGCCTTGAAACAATTAAAGAAAAACCCATGGTACTGAAACCAGAAAAGGCATTTATGTTGCCTGTCTCTACCAGAACCAATAAGTTGAGAAAAAGAATGAATCTTTGTGGGTGTTTTATTCGGATGCTGGCAATATGAGAAGACAGTGGAGTTATGTACCTTAAAATTCACCTTAACATCTCATCTCAAGCTGACCTTTTTATAGGAAGGAGGAAATGGTAGGTAAGGAGTTTGGGAAAAGGTTAATCAGATAAAAGTTGCAATCCCACAGCAATTTTCCTAATATTTCTTTATCTGCTGATCAACAACTTTTTGTCTTCCTAGAACACAAAGGCTTAGATAGAACCCCTTGAGCACAAAGGTAGAATTGCTTGTGACTCTTGAAGTCACATAGGTGATGTCTTCCAGTTCCTGGAATAACAGTCTTCCATATGCATTAATCACTTAAGCCTATTAACTATAACTGAAGCTTTTAGCTTTAACTCTTGAGTTCCTCTTTCAGTACCAACACTCGAATTAGGTGACTGGAACACCTTCCTGAAACTCAAGCCTCAATGAGTAGCCAGTGAATGTAGCTTGGTCACTGTGTTCCAAGGGCAGCTTCTCAGCCTTGCAGTTTTTCAGGGTACCTGGGGATGGGCAGACACCTGAGAGATGATGGCCTATACCAACCATACTCACAAGAAATTAGTGTTAACCCAGTTCTTCATCAATGATCACTTTTCATATGGGGAATACTGATTGTTCTTCTCACTTGATAAATGCTGCTTCAAAATGTAGTAGCATACAAGGGATGATGGGAAGGGGGTGAGTGGAGGTGGAAGAGGGTATGGGGGGGATGCACGACAATAGCAACAATACAATAAAAAAGAAAAAAATGTAGTAGCTTATTTGGGGATGACATATTCTGGTCTCTTAGAGTCATATTTTGGAGCAGTCTATTCTGATCTCCTGTAGTAAGTGTAAACAAATACCTCACTTTAAAAACTTTTTAAAAGTTGCTTTTATTAAATGGTTAAAATGGTGGCTCAAAACAGTATAAGAAGAAAATGGATTTAAGTATATATTTAGTATAAATAGCCTGTGTGGGTTTTTTTTTAGCTTTCTTATATCCACTTAGCCCCATTTAGATAGCTGCATATTCACTTCCCTTAGAGAACAGCCCTTTCCCTTTCCATGTGCAGTTTGGTGAGGCTGTCCATCAAGGTTCCCAATCTCCTCTACAGAGCCAGGTGATGGTCATGAGAGTCAAGCTAAGCTAACTGAACACTCTTGTAGAGCACCAGAATAGACCGCCATAAAGTACACTTCTTTGGCTTAAGAATTATTTTGAGAAAGACCAAAGAAAGAGCTCTGAAAACAGAGTATAAATTACCCTTTTGTGGTTGAAAAAGTGAGTACTATGGAAAGTAACCTCATAGGGTGATGTAATCATAAATTCATAACTGGGCAGATCAAGGTAGATAGTCAGCCCGAGGCATTAACTTTTTAGTAAAAAGTCACTTAAGTAAGCCCTGTCCTTTGGCATGTGTGTGTGCCTACCTTTGAAATAAGCAGTGACCACCCTTCAGAGGGCACATAATTTTGTTAACTATCATGTAATCCAATCCCTACATTGTCTTCTCCTACCTCTTCCTTACTTTCCTTCCTTAATTTCAAATGCATGAATTAAGTTGTTATTCTCCACAGTATTTGAGATCCGGCTCCCCCAGCATATGTTGTCAGTTTGGCTCAAATAAACTCATAAAAAAAATTCTCTACACTTTTGTAGAGTAAATTTAGTTACAAAGGAAATTTCTATTTGTAAGGGTGTTTCCCTCTGTACCAGGAAGAAAAAGATGACTTTAAGTCACAAAAAACTCTTATTAAAGGAGAAGTCAGAGTTACATCTATGTAATGAAATTTACCCCAGTTTACTGTGCTTTTCCTGGTCACCTTTCCATAATTTGCCTCTCCCACACTCTTCTTCCTTTCTTTTAGCTATGATGGTATGTAAGCCCAAGTTCTAGTCATCCCTTTGAGTTACTCATCTCTGAGTTTATCTCATGTATAGTATGAAATATTCATGTTAATAATTCTGTTAGTTTTTCTCATTAATCTGTCTTTTGTTACAGAGGCTTTAGCTGAGAACTGATAAAGACAGAAGAAAAAGATTTTTTTCCTCTACACCATCCTTAGAATCTGAGTTTCAAGTATTGATGCAGTATTAGAATATAAATTTGAACTGAATTTATATCCATCAGGCCCTGATCTCCAGTTACCCTTTATTGGGTTTCAGCTATTTGGAAACACCAATTCTTCTGCTATATTTCATAAGTAATCTCTCCCAGATTCTTTCAATAAATTCTAACCCTACTCCCACCACTATTTCATTTCCCCCTTAACTTAGCTCAAAATTGTTTGGATTGCTTGCAACCAGAAACTCTAATGAGTAAACTCTGTCCACAACATTTGTGGTCTTCATGATCACCAGTATGGTTATGCCATCCAAATTTTGGGATTTTCCAGGTACACCAGGTGCATATCCTACAAGAAATGTCAACTTTCTTTAGTAAAGCACATAACCTCCTCCATAATATGATTTCTGCCTGCTTTTCTAGGCTCATCTCCTATCATTCACTTCACTTTTCTCTCAACAGTAGTCATACACAGCCAATTACAGTTCCAGGAATATGCCATACACATTTCAGCCACTGAAACTTCTTTCTTAGTTGTTGCTACCGCCCTACATTTATAACTCAGTTTAGTTTTATGACCACTGAGAATCCTATAGGCTCCAATTCATGGTAATCCCTCCCATCTGTTAAAAAAACAAAATTCAACTGAATAAATTTGAAGACCTAATGAGCTTTATTAAGTGATTCGTGAAAGGGGCAGCATCCAATCTAGCGACTAGAAGGTTCCTCTAAGGGAATGCACAAAAGGGAAGGTTTTACAAGAAATAGTCTGGGGCAAGAAAGCTATTAATGAAAGAAAAGATTATTTGGGGGCTGGGACATCTTTTCTTGGGGGTGGGGAGAAAAGGGAGAGGGCTTTTTTTAATGTAGATTGTCTCTTCTTTCTATGGAGGATGGAGAGAGCCTCCTGGACAGATTACCTTACTGGGACTTGACCAGAAAATTTCATACTGGTCGAATAAGATTACTTACTGAACAAGTTGAAAGTGAAATTAGGTCAGGTATTAAACCTACGTTTGGTGCCTGGGTTGTGAGCCAAGCCCCTGGTTGGAGGCATGGGAGAGGCAACTGATCAATGTTTCTTGAGCACTTTGATGTTTCTCCCTTCATTCCCCTCTCTCTAAAAAACATGTAAATAAAATCTTTTAAAACATTTTTTAAGAAAGAAACAAAAAAGAACACACCATAGACCCATGATGATGTCACTTGTATTAAAAGTCTATAATACAAAACTAAGATTCTTCCTATGATTTATAAAATAAGAAAACATTTTCTTTGACTTTCTTTGGATCCCTGGCTGATTCTGAAAATTAGGCTGACAAAGACAGATCAATTGGAAAAAGTCTATGAATTTTATTAAATTTTTACATGTACATGGGAGCCTTCATGAAGGAATGAAGGCCCAAACAAATGACCAGAGCAGGAACATTTTATACCTTTCGGGGGAAAAAAAGGGGGGGTTTGGTCTATAGGTAGCAAATGGTAAAGATAAGTAAGAGTTAGTTTGCAGATTCTTCTGGTGCCCTC